ATGATCAAGAACTCCTTGTAATGACGGAGCAAGGAGGCTGTGAGCATCCTCCGAATATTGAATGGCCACCGCTCTTCAGTGTCGCCTGCAAAGAGCATTTGGACAAAGGGACCGACCAGGGAAGGCTCGGTCATAATAGAGTCTAGGGATGGAGGAACACTGCCACGTATCTCACCGTATTGACGGGCTGTCCACCCGGCTAACGCCTTGCCGGGTTGGTTAGTGAGCGTTTTGGTCGCAAGGATGTAGTCCATTAGGGAATGGGCGTCTGGTGATTCCCAACCTGTCCTGTAGATCTGAGATATGCCGCTGACACCAGGCATTTCACATAGATCTTGCTTACCTCCCTTTCAACTACTGTAGCTCGTCAGGCCTTCATCTTTCAACGACAAAAGCTGCTGGAGCTTCTTCTTGCTGGACTCCGAGAGTTGCTGGAATGCTTTCACAATGCGCAGGAAATATTGCTCCCAAAGAGCTTGGACCTGTGGTTTATCCTTCTTGTTCTTATCTACCCTGAAAGCTTGCTTGATAAACATAGGAAACAGTTCCTCTTGGAATCCTAGGACGAGGATCCTGTAGATTAAAGCAAAATAGGGATCGTGTTGAAGGGCGCACTTGTGTGGATAGAGGCTGAGGTCTTGGACTAGATTCGTCTTGTCTCGTTGGATGTTGACATCAAGCACTCCGTCTTCGAATTCTTGGTCGAATGTGCCTGTAGATCTAATGTCGTTGGCTTTTAGAAAAGAGATTTCTCGTCCACGAGCTAGAAGATGCAAAGCCCACACATTGAGACAAAACAATTCTGTGGTTTCCGTCGAAGCAAGCCAAATTGAAGCGTTGGCCATTGCTGCTCTATCCTCTCTTGATGATGCGACGCGGGGATTCACTACTCGCTTTCCCGTTTGCCAGGAGCGTGAATTGAAATTCTTCCTCATCTCATTGCGGAGCTTCCTCCAACTACCATTCTCGTCTAGGACGTTGAGTGCGGGTTTGGTTCGGAACCTATTCTCCAAGAAAGACTTGATTGCACTGGCATAGCCCGTTGCCAATTCGTAACTGAGCAGGGCATTCTTTGGGTTTCTGTACTTGTGGGCGTCGAAGGTCAAGTACTTGAAAAATTTTCCAAAGAAGTCGTGCCACCATGATTGATATTCAGCGATGTCTTCCAGACCGAAATATGGTAAGTCTTAGATAGTTATCACAGGGGTACCTCTCTCCTGACAAAGTAGAGCCAGAAAATCATTGCAATGGGCTCTTGCTGCTGGAGTTTTGTTGCTCTCACTGTCGTCTCTAATGTCCTGGAGTTTCGCGGCAATCTCTCGATCTTCGGCTTCAATGACAACTGTCAAGGTCAGGTCTTCAGCGTCATGGTTGGGCATTTCGATGTTGCTTGTTGCCATGGGCGTTTGCTCTTCTCTGGGTTGGGCGGTGGGTCTATGATGGTAGAGTCGGATTGTGGAAGCAACGAGTGTTCGACGACCATCAAGAGAGGGCGTTCGAAATCGATGAATGATTGCCGGTAAGCCAGCGTGGCTCATGGGCGTCTGAAGAGAAAAATATGCGGGAACGAAACTGGAATATCGCTTTGCTTTCTGAGGGATACTTAAGAGCTAAATGTTTATTAAGTATTATTACTTAGTGGGTGCGTTTCGGATGGGCGTTGGGCGCCTTATGGGTGTTTCAGAGGGTTTCCAGGAAAGTCAAAACAAAGCCAGCACCAATCCATGTCGCATACAATACATATGATCGCGCAGCCAGCTGGGCGCATTTGTACCGTAGTGCAGACCGAACGGAAATACAGAATCAAAGCATGCACACAACTCTAAACATTAAGTCAGCGGGAGCTGTGATACCTCGGCAGAAAGACAGATAGAAGAAGGATGACATGTTTGAGATTGCACTCTTCTTTCAAGCTAGCCGTGGCGACAACACCCGACTTCGTCGTGTGTTGCCGCCTGATATCATTCCCTCATTGTAACCTTCTTTTTTATTTAGGCTAGCCCTGGCGACAACACCCGACTTCGTCGTGTGTTGCCGCCCGCTAACCATAATTTTTAAAGCTGCCATTCCCTTATGTAACTGTAACATTTGTAGCTTCTGCTGGCTTATTGTGTTGAGTGCACTAACCTTGAATAATCATGATTTATTCCTACCCCTAAATATGTAGAATCTTCAATTTCCAGTTTTGTTGGCTTACACCTATCTCTATCCCTATATTTTGGCTTCACCGGAATAGGAAACAGGAAACAGGAAATAAGTCAGCGGGAGCTGCGATACCTCGGCAGAAAGACAGATAGAAGAAGGAGGATCATGTTCGAGATTGCACCCATCTTTCAAGCTAGCCCTGGCGACAACACCCGACTACGTCGTGTGTTGCCGCCTGGTATCATTCATTCCCTCATTGCAACCTTCTTTTTATTAAGCTATTCCTGGCAACACCACTCGACTACGTCGTGTGTTGCCGCCCAATACTCTATAACTTACCAGCTGCCATTCCCTTATTGTAACTCTAACATTTACAGCTCCTGCTGGCTTACTGTGCTGTTGTGCTGATTGCACTAACCTTAAATATTAATTCCTACCCTAACTTCATCAATGTTCAGTTTTGTTGGCTTATGACTATCTCTATCCTTATACTTTGGCTTCACCGGAATAGGAAATAGGAAATAGCATTTAAGTCAGCGGGAGCTGCGATACCTCGGCAGAAAGACAGATAGAAGAGGATCGCATTTGAGATTGCTGCAATACATGTACAAAGAGGAGAATCTGGAGGATCAGTAGGTAGACCACTGGCTAATACAGTACGTCGACAATGATACAGAAGCATTTCATTTACTGTAGCCGTATTTCTCTACAAGCCCTGGCAATATATTTTTCCGCCACCACAAACCCTTGCGAGCACAAATTGCTTTGTCAAATGATTTTTTAACCCGCTCAAGTTGTAGATCATGATGGGTTGCACTATCTTTCCTCTCTCTTGCAATTTTCTTTCTATCATACGTATGGTGAAATATGTTGCACTCTGCTTCGTAGAAACCCGGATCCTTCGCAGGTGTTCCATACTTGCTTGGCATAGTTGCTTTGCCGTGGACCCGAGTTGGTGCCGTGACAAATGGTCGTTGCCCTCTCGATGGCTGTTGTCAGTAGGTGGCAGCCTGCGGTGCTAGGGGTCGATCCTCGATGGACGATAGAATGCGTGGCTGCAGCAAAATGATTAACCTTAACCCTATACCCTGGCTTCACCAAAACGAGGGGGATCCCACAGACACAAAAGAAGGGGGATCCCACAGACACTGCATAGGCATATTTAAGTCAGCGGGAGCTGCGATACCTCGGCAGAAAGACAGATAGAAGAAGGATGACATGTTTGAGATTGCACTCTTCTTCTTTCAAGCTAACCCTGGCGACAACACCCGACTTCGTCGTGTGTTGCCACCCGGTATCATTCCCTCACTGTAACCTTCTTTTTTATTTAATTAAGCTAGCATTGGCGTAGCCACGGCCTAACCCAAAATTTACAGCTATCATTCGATTGTGTAACTCTAAATTTACAACACCTGCTGGCTTATTGTGTTTTTGTCCTGTGTGCACTAACCTTAAATTACATTGATATATTCCTACCCCTAACTTTTATTGAACCTTCAATTTCCAGTTTTGCCAGCTTACATTATCTCTATCCTTACACCCTGGCTTCACCGGAATAGGGGATCCCACAGACACAAAACGAGGGGATCCCACAGACAAAAACCAGGGGGATCCCACAGACAGAATGTTTGCCAATAAAGGGGTAGAGGACTCAGGCAGTTAACCTGCCGAGGTAAAGGGGTGGAGGGCTCAGGCAGATAGACTGCCGAGGTAAAGGGGTAGAGGGCTCAGGCAGATGGACTGCCGAGGTAAAGGGGTAGAGGACTCAGGCAGATAGACTGCCGAGGTAAAGGGGTTGAGAACTCAGGCAGTTTACCTGCCGAGGTTAGGAAATACCAAAAAGGGGGGTGAGGGCTCAGGCAGACTGCCGAGGTAAAAGGACAAACTCTGTAGAATAATGATCTGCACACCTTTGTTCTCTCGCGATTCGTTTCAGTCTGTCAGCATTACTGTGATATCCTTGTCTTTTGGGATCAGCTCCTGCGACTATCCAAGCTACAGCGCGGGGTTATACGGTAAGCTATGATGGGTGGAGGAGAGTGCACGCATATTACGGTGCATTTCGTTTCGGTTGGTGCATGGATCACTCCAAACCAACAATCGAGCAACTTGATCCGGAAAAGTATGAGGCAGTGCTCTGTAGATCCACTGACAGTGCCCTGCTGCTCGATGCAATAATGACGGACCCTTGAAGCATCCCTATACCAACCTACACGTATACCGGTAACACAAGTAACTAACGACCTACATAGCTGCAGGGGTAACTATCACCAGATCCTACACTGGCCGAAACATAGGTCCAGCCTGCTGCTCAATGCCATGTAAGAGGATCATAAACGCCCTACTGCCCTACCGGTACCATGCAATCAAAATACAAGGGAAAAGTACAACCAGATCCCAGCACAGGCATAAACAAACGTCAAGCCTGCTGCTCAGGGCCATGTAAGAGGATGATCGACGCCATGTTTCATGCAACAAATAAACACAAGGGGCAACTACCACCAGTTCCCAGCATTGGCCCGAACAGAGGTCCAGTCTGCTGCTCAAAAGTCATGCAAGAGGGTCGTGGTCGCCTCATCGCCCAACAGTGCAACCAATAAATACAAGGGGCAACTAACACAAGATCCCCCAGCGTTGACAATTAGGCAGAGGTCCAGCCTGCTGCTCAGTGTCACGAAAGAGGATCCTAGATGCCTTCCTGTCCAAGCAACCGCGTGTAACAAAGATGTATCGAATTGAACACAACAACTGCAGGCCCCCCAGCATTGACATAAATAGAGGTCCAGCCTGCTGCTCAGCGCAAGGGAGGAGGACCACTCAGTGAGCACATGGCCCTCGCTCTGCTCTTCTGTCGTCTACAAATTTGCATAGATTCCTCCAGCACCACTTCCAATACTATCATCATCGTTCTCGTCCACCGCTTCTTCTGCATTGTATCCTTTGTGATTGTACTTGTTCGTAGTTCCCATGATGGAATCCCATGTGGCATCACTGTCCTTGATAGACTCTTTTGGAAGATTGGATTTTTCATTGCAGGCTTGCATGTCGTCAAACTGTCCAAGATAGGCGGCTTCCTTGGTGCCCCCTGTGATGAGGAAGAACTGGGGGTAATCACCTTGGACACCAGATATCTCAAAATAGTTGTCTCGCTGATTCGTGAATTCTTGCATGGCACAATTCATGGTTTCAAACGGAATACCTAGAGCTTCCAACATCGCAATAGATCGTTCTTGGCGGCTCAATTGTCTCCGACTCCCAGACATCGTTGAGACCAACACCATGATGCGCGTAGAATTGGGGTCATCCACGGTTTTCTGTGTAAGAGATGTGGTTGTGTTCTTGAGCAACATGTCAACTGCCTTTTCTTTGCTGTGACTACTGCTAGAACTGTTGGGGCCAGCTGCAGAAGATTTCCAGCCTCTAGCACCAGTAGTATTGGCCTCTGCGGGTGATGATGCTGACTTCTGTTTCCATGATGGCACAGGGGATGCAGCAGGTTTATCACGAGGAGGATTACTGGGCATAACAGGAGCAGCATTTGCTCCTCTTCCTTTCAGCTTTTCCCTCCAAGCAGGGAGAGACTTTACTGAATGGCTAGAAGAGGTTTCCCTCCAAGCAGGGAGAGACTTTGCTGAATGGCTAGAAGAGGTGCTATTGCTGGCCACAGCGGTACCAGCATCTTTAGCACCAGCCTGTGATTGCAGTGGCACGGCTGAACCATTGACCTTCTTTTTCAATGATGGTGCAGGTGTGAGGCTTGGCTTGGCTGGGGTCTCAGTGGTTGCTCCTTTCACCTTTTGCTTCCAAGCTGGAACAGGTTTCTCGTTCCCAGATGGTTTGGCACCAGCATCATTCCCATTGCCTTGTGATCGTGCAGGTGAGGTTGGCCTGCTGTCCTTTTGTTTCCATGATGGAGCAGTTGTGAGACTGTGCTTGACAGGAGCCCCAGTAGTTGCTCCTTTCAACTTTTGCTTCCAAGAAGGAACAGCCTTCTCAGCATGCTTTCCAGCTTCTTTGGTACCAGCATCATTCCCGTCAACTCGTGGTTTGACGGGTGAGGTTGTCCTGCTGTTCTTTTGCTTCCATGATGGAGCAGTTGTGAGGCTGGGTTTGGCAGGAGCTTCAGTAGTTGTTCCTTTCACCTTTTGTTTCCAAGCAGGAACAGCCTTCTCAGTATGGTTTCCAGCTACCGTGGAACCATCATTATTCTCATCTTCTCGTGGTTTGATGGGTGAGGTTGGCCTGTTCTTTTGCTTCCAAGATGGAGCAGTTAAGAGAGAGGGTGCCATAGTGGAAGGAGCCTCAGTATTTTCTCCCCCTTTGAGCTTTTGTTTCCAAGCAGGAACAGCCTTGCTTTCATTACTGGGATTTGAGGGGCCATCACTGGTCACTTTGGCACCAGTATCACGTGGTTTCGGAGGTGAGATTGACCGATTGTTCCTCTGCTTCCAAGATGGCGCAGTTGTGAGAGTGGGTTTAGCAGGAGCAGCCGCCACAGACGATCCTTTCAGTTTTGGCTTCCATGCGGGAACAGCCTTTTCTTCGTTGCTTACTGCCATGTCCTTGCTGGAGACGTTTGATTTCGAGGCAGGTCTACTGCTGCCAGCATCATTCCCACCACTCTGCTCTGCTTCTGTTGGGGATACCTTGGTACCATTATGTTTCTGTTTCCAGGACGGAGCCGTTGAGAGAGCTGGTTTACCAGGAGCAACAGCAGGACGAGTTGACCCCTTTAACTTTTGCTTCCATGCCGGCACCGTCTTGTCTCCTCCGCCGTTCCTAGTCGCTGCACCATCAGCTTCACTTCCGGAATCTCGTGGTTTTGGAGGTGAAATATTGGACCTGGTGTTCTTTTGCTTCCATGATGGTGCAGTTGAGAGAGTGGGCTTTGCGGGAGTAGACCCCTGAGCACTGCCTCCTCTCTGCTTCCAGGCAGGAACGGTTGCTGGCTCTTCTGCTTTTATGGCCTCTTTAAAGTTTTTCTTACGCGCGGGAACAGTCGCATCGTCGTCGTCGTCCTTTGGCTGCTTCTTCTTAGGCGTCCAAGCCGAAACAGAAGACGGCGGAGCCACCGGAACCCTCATGCTGGACAGTGCGAAAGAAGATGGTTGGTTTTGATTCAAGCAATTTTTGCGAGGCTAATATCGTTATTGGTACGGATGATAACGATGAAATGCATGGAAGCAGGCGACGGGTGACTTCATGAGAAAAGAACTTGGAGAAGAGATGACCAAGAAGGCATGCAGGAGCAACCGTGCACCTACCGGTACATGTACCAGTACGAGCTCAGCAGGGCAAGTGAAGAAGCAGCAGCCCTGGGACAGATTCCTTGATTGTCAGGAAAACATCCAAGAACAGAATTCCTGCAAAGCAATGGAAATTTCTGGAAGGATCTTTGGTGGGTGCGAGCTGGGCAGCATTGGTCTTTTTTTCCCGCGGGTGACTCCTTAGAGTCAAGGATACTAAAGGCGAAAGAAACAAAGAAACGTCATTGCCTCCTTCGTGCCATGGAACATTTTGAGCCGCTGATGCATGGGATGATCGAGAGCGTCAAAGTAGACCATAATCTGCATGATATCCTATAGCTGCAACTTTTAACAAGGAAATGAAGCAAGATGTTCGAGGGAAAACCATGAGTTTGGCGTCAGGCTGCCTTCTTTATCTTTGTGTGATTTCCAACTTCTGGCTTTGCAATGCCCTGCAATCCGTCCACACGTCGAGACGAATGGGCAAACCACTGATGATACCTGATCACTACAAACTGTTTGCAACCAAGGCACGGGATTTGTCCATGGTAGATATTATGGAAGTCAAAGCTGATGAGGCCCCGACAACCTCCGCAAACGGTGCCAATGACAGCAGCAGCCTTGGCTCGACGAAACATTCCATCTTTTTATTTTCTCTTCCAGCCTGGAATCTACTTGAAACTTCTACTACTACAGGTACCAATAATAATTCTTTGGGTGCTCACGCGGCTCTGTTGGTGAGACGTCTTTGGGAATGGAAAGACGACGTCCTAGGCGATGGACGCGATTTCTTTGTCCCGCGCCCCAAAACCCTGGGAGCGCTCAATCAAATCCTGAAACAACAAATCCCCCATGCGACGGAATGCGTCGTGCTGTCCAACTGTGCGCGCTTTGACGTGTTGGTCGTGGTGGGAAAGATGGACCATGGTAGTAGCACAGAAGATGGCATGCTACAAAGGGTACAACAACCAGTAGCGCAGGCTCTGATACAGCAATATACACATTACAAAAAAGAAACTCAAAAGCAAAAGTCCAACAAATTCTCCTTGGCCGCACTCTTTGAGGGCCCTGGAGGTGGTGGGGATCAGCCAGACCGTCTCTTACTGGATCCGCCGTGCCTACGAGACAGCGCCCATGATTCCCCCGCAACAACCATCACCACCGCAGATGATGACGATTGCTTTTTGGAAATCAAAACCTTGACCAACAATCTGCAAGCCTTGCAAGGTCCCGAATCCATTGCCCGTTATCTCTGTCGAGTGGCTACTGGGTTGCAAGCACAGGGACGACGTCCTGGTCGAGACGTTGTCTTTCGTCCATTCAGTAGTCGGGACGCACACGTAATGCTCCAACTCAAACGAACTGCCGATGTTGCCAGCAGCAATAGTCGCATCAAATCTTTGTTGGACACGGCGCTGCAGGCTGGCAAGGCGGCACGAGATCCCGCCAAAGTGCCGGCCATTCTACCATTGAAAAAGTACGGAAGTGGGGGGAGCAACAGTCGGTATTCGTTGGGAGATGCCCCGTCCGAGTTGACAGAGGCAGCAGCCAAACAAGCGGAAGAACTGTCCATCGAGCCAAGTGTGGACAAGTATGTTGACAAGTGGGCCGTGCTCGAAGTATCGGAACAAATTCAAGCCTTTCGAAGTGCCGTCCAACTTGCTACCGATGAATATCTAGGAGTTGACTTGGAGACATCCCCCGAAGCCAAGCCTATTCGAGCCATGATGCATCCTCATGTAATGAATATCCGAAGTGGCAGACCTCCTGACCTGGACGAGATTCTAAGAGAGATTCAAGCATTGCAATAGCGTGAGGTTGAATGAATGTGGCGTTCTTGGAAGCGCAGGTCGGCACTGCTTGGTTATCTTGGTGCAAGTACCAGCCTACTATAGTTAGGTTCTTCCCCGGCTAGATGAGTGCCAAGCAACCAAGATTCCCCAATCAAAGCAACACATACTTGATTTTGAAACGAATAGTATCATTATTGGCTACAGTGTACCCAATGGTAATGTTGTGCACCCCGCAAGGCCGCAACCTCTTGGGTTTGGCACGATTCTTGTGACTGGTTGTTTTGGAAGGACCCCGTGAAGGTTCTATTTGTTGGGGGAGAATGGGTAACCAAGCATGGTTGGGTTGTGATCCCCCACCACAGCACCACGAACCGAGACCACGAGGACGGCTTTGCCAACTCGCATGTTTGAAGTGCTCCCACCTATTTTATTTCTGTATCTGTTAAATCTTTGTGGACAACTTTGTTAAGCAATCGTCCAACAGAAAGCCTTAGCTTACCTCAGTATGGACAATAAAGTACCGGTAGGATGACATGCTTCCAAAAAAGCATGTGGAATGAACGAATGAACGCGAGAGAAAAGCCGAAGGTGCCGAGCTTCCTCCAAACAAACCATTGAAACCAGGCTGCATCGAGCGCCATCGATCGAGTGAGTCAGCTGTCATGCAACCACGGGTAGCCGGCAATACCTTGTTGCTTTCCCATCAGTTACATTGTTGGCCACTGCTATTAGCCATATAGCATATAGAAGCATCTATCTTTTAAAAGAGACGGCATGATGAAATTGAATAGACTACTGATACTGTGGTTCTTGATATCTATTGCTACCCCTGAATATATTGATGCTTCACGGCACCTCAGGGACGAGAAAACTACAGCATTGCATCATGATCATACGGATATAGGAACCAATGGATACTCTAGCATACGCAATAGCCACAAGAGAGAAAGAAGAAGAAGTCTCGAGGAAGAACAGATGGTGTTTGCTTGTTCTGAAAATCCCGAGGAATATGAGACAACCCTCTTGATATCCCACGAAGGCAACCCGGACCAAATCACTGGGTCCGACCTGGCAATGCTAGAAAGCGCCATCAAGAAAAGCTACAACGATCTTGCCCAATACTACTACCCTTGCGATCGACAATATCGCAACATCACACGAGTGGTGGCCCAGGCAGATTCCGTGACATCTATATCCCACAATGAAATGCAAATACTGTACAAGGTCACTGGCTTTTGCGAAGGATGTCGACAAAATGAACGAGGAATCCTCTTTGGACGTCCACCTGCTAGACCAGAAGACGAAATCAGCGTCTCTAGATCCGGGCAAACGCGAAGAAGAAGAGGCCAGAGGAGGGGGCTGAAAGGATCTAGCCCTCTAGACGACAATAGAAGGCAGTTGGATCACTCGGGTGATGATGATGATGACTGTGGGTGTAGGAGACGACAACTTGGAGGAGGTAGCCAAGGACCACCGAGATATTATGTCAGAGAGTACATCAATGACGAACTATCGGACACTTCTAGCGAAACCTCCAACTACGAAGTGACACGGATATCAGAAGCGAGCGAAATACCGTGCAGTCCCGACATGGCAAACTTTGAAAGCACCTTCCTTATCGTCTTTGAAGGAGAACCAGAGCTATTGTCAGAATCAGAAGAGGAGGCAATGGAAACTGCATTCTCATCCACTTACAACAAGATGAGCTACCAAAGCTGTGATGAACCATACTTTCGACGCGTCACGGATGTCTCCGTTGGCGTCCTCTCACCTCCGCCATCGTCCAGGCGTGGGAGAAGCAGCCGAAGTGGAAGATCCAGCAGTTTCAATGCCAGCCAAGTGGTCAAGATCGTGGCGGAAGCCAACTGCCATGACTGCCCTGGCACATCCTTGTTCGACCACGGATTGGTAGCCACTCGACGACGACGACGACAAAGAGGTCGTCGACAGCTTCCGGAACTCCTGGATGAGTACACGTCTATAGCCACCGTGTCTGTGGATATCAGCAGCAGCAACACGAATCAGCCCAAGCAAGGTGAAGAAACCGCTTGTCTCTGCGCAGCTAGGAATATCAATAGAACGGGACTGTCTCGACCGGGTGCGTTCTTCGCAGCCTACCAAGACGAACTAGACGATTTGGATGATGAGGATCTTCTGGAGAGTGTTGAATCCATGGAACGAATGATAGAAGTCGAGGAGGTTCAATGTAGTTCGGCAAAGAGCACCATGGAAACGGTCGTCCTCTTTCAGATTGATGGTCGACCAAACCGGCTATACGAGTATGAGGTGGAAGCACTTGAATCCAGCTTCAAGAAGGTCTACAACGAGCTACTATTTAGCAAATGTGACAATCCACTGTTTCGCCAAGTGGACGACGTGGTCATTGACGAGGAGACGAGCAGTGATGAATGGCTAGGGAGGCAACCGTTCCCGTCCAGGATCGACACGAGTCAACTTTTGCGCCTGAGAATAACATTTAGCTTCCGGGCCCCTGCAACCAGCCTATTTGATGTGGGTGTGGGCGAAGAGCCCGACGCATTATTTGACCCGGAAGTGAGTGGGTTCAACCAGGACGTTCAATCCTATGGAGGAAGCTGCTATTGTCCCCTATCGCGTAACGCAGATGCAGCCTTTGCCAACGTCTTCCAGGAGGCATACAACTCGGCTATTGACTACTTGGACTTGTACTATGTTGATGCTGTGGATGAGATTCTAGAAGTGGAAGAATACGATTGTGGAAATGACACAACTTTGCGTGACACGCTGCTCTTCGTAGAGTTTAATGGTGACCTTTCCAGCATGGCTTCCTCCGAACTCGATGATTTTGAGAATTCAATGCGGATCACATACAACAACCTCAACTTCAAGTCTTGCGACCATCCCCACTTCAGGACCGCCCTGAACTTTACAATTCTTGACCAAGGAAACATAACAAACAGGCGACAACTGCAAATGCCCTCCGAATCGGAGGTGAACTCGGCAAACATCAGGTTGGTTTCTGTCAGCTACGAATGTAGAAACTGTGCCTCTGCACCTCCATTGCTGAGCTGGAGAGATGAGTTGTCCATTGAAGCGCCTCCGCTAAATCTATCAGAAAGTCATTTTGATGTGGTTGAGGGGCTCTCTGAAACGTGCTACTGCCCCGTGAATGCTCGCATGGAAGACAGGTCGCCCACTGAAATAGAGTTTGGCTTGGCCCTAGACACGGGCTTTCGGTCCCTGGCAATGGAGCGACAGAGCTTGCCTGATGCGATGCTAGGTGTAAAAGATCTTGTGGAGGTTGAAGAGCTTGACTGTGCGGCAGAAACGTATGCCTTCCAAACGGAAATCTTCCTAAGACTGAATGAAAATTCCACCCAGCTGTCTAACGCGGAGCTTGCTGCGATTGAACTTGGATTCACCGAAACATACAACAATATGAACTTTCTCTTCTGCGATTCGATGCACTTTCGGAGAGTCTTGCAAGTGGTGCTTGATGTCCCGTCAAGCGCTCGTCAGCTTCAGCAGGAGGACGAGATCGATGTTCTCATCAGGGAAGACAGCTCAAACCTTTTGAGATTGATCGTTGATGTAGAATGTCAAGACTGCACGACTGCGACAACTATGTTCAGTGACGGTGTGGCTGATTCAAGTGTCAACACGCTAACGTCTTTGCCATCGTCATCTCTGATGTCTTTCTTGGCGTCACGAGAGTACGAAGAAACCAACGCAGCTGTTTGCTACTGTTCTTCAACATTCCCATTCCTAGGACGATCCCCCACAACCGAGGAGTTTCAGTTGGTCTTCAATAGCAAAGTTTTGGATCTGCAGGAGATCACCACGAATGATCCAAGCCCGCGCGTAGTTGAAGAAGTGATCGAGATTAAGCAAGTGGAGTGCAGCGAAGAGGTGAAACAGTTCACCTCAACAGTTTTTGTGGGCCTTCAAGGAAGCTTGAATCTGTTGACAGATGAAGAGAAGCTTGTCCTAGAGCAAACCTTTCAAGACTCATACAACGAGATCTCCTTCTCTCAATGTGATTCACTCTTCAGAAACGTATTGGATGTAACCCTGACACCCAGTTCACTGTCAACGGTTGCTAGAAGTCGGCGATTGAGCAACTTTACAACGGCAGCAGATGTGAACAGTACATCCACACGGCCGGAGGACGATGCTGCTTTGGCACTGTTCCAAGTGACGGGGGAATGCAGGTGAGTGAAGGAAAATTCTTGTCACGCCCATCATATCGCATCATGGTAGCAGCATGCCACTAACGTTTTGTTTTTCCTGCATCTCCCAGGGGTTGTGAAGTCACTGACACAGGTAGGATACTTGGTACAAATGTGCAAGTCGTTTCATTTTCTTTCTCATGTGTTGGTGTGACTGGCAATATTCAGGAACGTTTAACCTTTTTGATGACGCATTCCGTAGGGCTCTCGGGCTGTCTGATCCAAGAAAGAGGCGAGGGCTTCAAAGTCAATTGTCAGGATGTTCATGCCCCACGAATACAGATCCAGTGGAGCCGGCGGCACCAACAGAAGACGAGTTCTTGGTAGAGTATGACTCTGCGGTTATGGAATTGAATCAGCAAGGGGTTCTGGAAAATGTTGCTGGTGTTTCTGATATCAAGTAAGTGGTTGAATTGTTTCTTTGGCTAGAAAATGTTTCCAAGCAAAGCTTGGCAGCTCACAGTAGTTCCCAGATCATGTGACAGAGATGTGACAGAGGTTTCAGGATACTATGATATCTCATTTACAGGCGACTCGGAAGGGCTCTCGGAAGAGCAAAAGACGCAGTTCGTTGTGGACTCCTTTAATGCCCTCCGCACAGAAGTTTGCAGTGCCCAAGTTGTTGACGTTGAGTTGGTTGAGAATGAGCAAGGAGTTGCCGTGGTGAGGGTTGAAATGGTCGCCATATCTGAAGGCGGCGCACAAAGTCCAATCTTTGTTGCAGGAGACAGTAACGCTACAGGCTTCCTTGAGGGACTTAGTGTTCTGATTTCCAATTCTGGCGTTGATGCAACAGCTGAGAATGTTGAATTTGCTGGGCCCACTGTCCGATGTTCTCAAAGGAGAAACACATTTGAAGTTGAGTTGGTATTTGAGTATGAAAGCGAGAGAGAACTGGATTGCCCTCCTACCCCCGCACCTACTCCAGATCGACCATCCCCATCCAGGCCGGTTCAAGGAAGGCCTCAACCCCCCGCCCCTCCAAATCAAGGCAACAATGGGGTATGTCGGCAGCTTGTACAAGGGAAACACACAACTCAAAAGCTAACATACTCTTCTTTCTGATGTATATCATAGGGCAATGGCCAGGGCAACCAGCAACCAGCAAATCAAGGCAATAATGGGGTGCGTCTCAAGTGAATGATTCAGCAAAACGCAACCTTAAAACTGACATTTGCATTGTTTGCTGTGAATGTAAAACATCAAATTCTTTTTAATGTGAGATAGGGAGGCAATAATCAGGGACAACCTGGAGGGCAGCAACAAGGAGGGCAGCAGTCCGGTGGGCAGGGAGGGCAGCAGCAACAAGGTGGCACAAATAACGGCGGCCAGCAACAACAAGGTGGCACAAATAATGGTGGCCAGCAGCAACAAGGTGGCACAAACAATGGTGGCACAAACAATGGTGGCCAGCAACAACAAGGGGGTACAAATGATGGTGGACAGCAACAACAAGGTGACACAACTGGTGCCCAGCAACAGCAAGGTGGCACTGGTGATACAAACAATGGCGGACAGCAACAACAAGGTGACACAACTGGTGGCCAGCAACAACAAGGTGGCACAAATGATGGAACTGGCAGTGGTGACAGTAATGGAGGTACTGCAGCAGCGCAAGATGGAGGAGGGCAAGACAGTGGTGGAAATCAGGATGTTTCAGGGCAAGACAATGGTGGAAATCAGGATACCGGAAACACTGATTCTGGGCAAGATGGAGGAGGGCAAGACAGTGGTGGAAACCAAGATGCTGGAAATACTGATTCTGGGCAAGACAATGGTGGAAATCAGGACACTGGAAACACTGATTCTGGGCAAGATGGAGGAGGGCAAGACAGTGATGGAAACCAAGATGCTGGAAATACTGATTCAGGGCAAGACAATGGTGGAAATCAGGACACTGGAAATGGAAACACTGATTCAGGGCAAGACAGTGGTGGAAACCAAGATGCTGGCAATACTGATTCAGGGCAAGACAATGGTGGAAATCAGGATACCGGAAACACTGATTCAGGGCAAGATGGTGATGGAGGAGGGGATGGAGATGGAGGAGGAGATGGTGACGGGGGAGGTGATGGTGACGGGGGAGGTGATGGTGACGGAGGAGGAGATGGGGATGGAGGAGGGTGGTGACGGGGGCGGCGATGGAGAACCTGGTGGCGGAGATGGTGACGGAGGAGGACCTGGTGACGGAGATGGAGACGGGGGAGGAGATGGGGATGGAGGAGGTGTTGGTGGGGTATGTCCTGTGCGGTGGGATGAACAAGGCCAGGCTGTAACTCTTGCAACCTCAAAAGCTAACCCTCTTGTTGAATGCTGTGGATCTGAACAGGGTGATAACAACCAAGGAGGCGGTGATGGAGGTGGTGGAGGACCTGGTGGCGGCGGTGGAGGAGGACCTGGTCCTGGTGATGTACGTTTTGAATCCAAAGAAAAGAGCTCAAAAACAAAGCGACAAGCATCCCAAAGCTAACACTTTGCGGTGTCCCATGTTCTTGAAATAGGGCGGTGGGCAGGGGGGAGGAGGTGATGGCCCCGGAGGAGGAGGTGGTGGAGGAGGAGGCGGCCCTGGGCCTGGTGGACGATTGCTTGCTGCATTGGGCGAAACAATTTATGACGTGAATCGTCCAAGATATCTCCAACCAGATGGCTGTACTGGGAAGGCTGTGGCAAGAGAGCTGGCAGACGTTTTTCGGGAAACATATGAACAGCTTTCGCTACAACTTTGTGATCCATTTCGACGGCGAATAGAATCCATCAGATGTGACACTGAACGAATTGATGGTACATCTGGATCGCTACGTTGCAACATAAGTTTCCGGTGTTCCGGTCCTTGCCAAGAATGGCTGGATTCGACTGCAATTTATCAACAGATGGATGAGTTTGCGACTTCGGGCTCTTGCAGCTGTGACATTGAAGGGGGGCCCAAGAGAGCTCCACTATCATCAGATCATGTGGAGCTGCTGAACGAGGAGCTGGACAACGGTATTGCGATCCTTTCCATCGACGTCTAAGGAAGATTTGCCCCCCACAAACGTTGATTCTGCAGGCACGAGCACTGCGACGGCCATGACACACTGTGACAAATAATGCATAACAAACGACAAGCAGTGGGGGAAGTTTTTAGCACTCTGCAGCCTCACTTTTAGACTAGCTAGGAGCAATAGATCCAATAGCATACTACTGGTTTACGGAGGGATATGAGCCACCGAAAATTTACATCTTTTCTGAACTTCCGAAAATGACCTGTGGTAGCGATTTATGACTATCCAGTTACCAGATTACTAGAAATCAACCACAACAACCAAGTAGTAACACACACAACTATAGCAACCTCTCTATCAACTCCTCCTTCCTCTATCATCAGCCTTTTTCGGCTTATCAGGCGTGGAAGCTACTAGCAATAGACGAACAACAAGCGATCGGTCGTTCGGTCGACAAGCACAAGAAGAAGACTACCGTTCGGTCGTTCGAAACGACGGCCGGCCGTACCCCGCTCGTTCGTCCGAACGCCATTGTCGCCGTTCGATGCGACGCTACCGTTCGAAGCAACGTTCGAAGCAACGTTCGAGGCAACGCGACGAGAAGAAGAACTACAAGCAAAACGACGTTCGAAGCTACCGTTCGAAGCAACGCTTTCGTTCGTTCGAAGAGAAGGAGTTTGTTAACCGTTCGTTCATTCGAAGCAGCGCCATTGTCGCCGATTCGAGGCTACCGATTCGGAGCTACTGTTCGAACAGAAGAAGAGAGAAGAAGAGAAGACCTCCAAGCGGCATAGCAACAGAAGACCTCTCAAGAAGAAGGGGCTCTCTCAAGTGGAGCGAGAGATAGAGACTTCCAAGTGGGAAGCAGAGGTTTGGACTTGGAATATTGATCCCTCCAGTCTGGATCAATTCCTGCCTCATTGTCACCAAAGAAACCGGTTGAGCCAAGGAGAGGGGACGCCTGATCCAAGAGTTTTGGCCTAGACTGTCACAGACTGGGTGTGCAGAGCTCATTCCCTGGAATACAGCTTTACTTGTCTGGGTGTGTACAGTTTGCTGTTGGAATAGGAGCAGAGAAGAAGACCCAACAACTGTTGCTCATCCAAGTGATACCGCAAGAGAAGAAGTAATTGGAGGCGAATATGGCAGGCAATCTTGCAGCCATGAATAACTATCTACAGAATACCATCAGTATTGCCGAACTAGCCACGAGGACAGCATTGAATGATCAAGGATTGGATGCCTTCGTCTCACTCGATACCTTTACCGATGCCGATATCAAGAGCATCTGCGAGAATGTGAGGAAACCAGGCGGTACCATTCCAAATCCAGCCATTGCGGCTGCAGCCACTGATGAAGCTGCCGCAGCAGTTCAGCCCAGAGAAGTCCCCAATCGTGGACGACAGCTGGGATTTGTCTTTGAGAAGCGACTCAGACAACTACGGTTCTACAAGTTTCACATGACACGAATCCAGCGTGAGTTCACTCCCAACCAAGCCAGTTTGGCGAGATTGAATAGAGTTTGGGCTTTATACGAGTCCGAACGAGAAGAGATCGATGTTGCGGATCCTCCCCAACTCTTGAAGGTCGAGGATGTCCGACGCGTTCTGGAGTCCATTGACAACGTTCTGAATGTCAAGCGAGGCGTTTGCGGTGCCCCTCTGGCTTATGTTACGAGATCCAAAGTCACTTTGCCAGGAGCACCTGATACCGACACTGCAGATGAGGCTGACCCAGGTTTTGGCCTTCCATCGCATCCTGAAGAATTGGTTCGGAGAACAAGACATACCGGACCTCATTTCGTCCAAGACAATCAGGCTGTTTGGGCCATCATTCGGTCGGTTACTCACGGTGGACCTGGTTGGACATGGGTCCAACGTTGCGCAGCGCAACAGAACGGTCGAGCAGCTTACTTGGCCATGAAGGTTCACTATCTTGGTGATTCGTTCCAGGCTCGTACCAAGGCATTCGCGGATAGAGCCATTGAAACTACTTTCTTTGATGGGAAGTCCCGCAACTTTTACTTTTGAGCGCTATTGTGAAAGGCTTACCAAGGCCTTCACCGATTTGGAAACCGCTGGTGAAACCTTTACTGAGAGCCGCAAGATTCGCAAGCTTCTATCCGGCATTACAGACCCAACCCTCAAGACCGCCAAGTCCGTCATCCAAGCAACTCCGCATCTACGCGAGAGTTTCCAGGAGGCTATGAATTACCTAGCCGAGCAACTTGATGTCGCTGAACCCACTCGACCCACAAGAAATATTTCATCTGTGTCTGGCCGTGGTCGAGGTGGTGGTGGAAGAGGACGTGGGCGTGGCGGTGGTAGGTCCCAAGGCCGAGGCTATGGAAGAGGCCGAGGCAGGGGACGAGGCCGTGGTCGAGGCCATGAAGGCCGGGGTTTTGACCCCAATAACCCAGGAAGATATTACCATCCCGATGAGTGGGCTCAGCTCACATCGGCGCAGCAGCAACAGGCTAGGGACGCCCGCGATGGTGACAAGCGGAAGATTGCCGAGCTGCAGACACAGTTGACAGATACCCAGTCCCAAGTCTCGGAATTGCAAGCCGAGAAACGATCCCGGACTGATGTTCCTGGCGGATCTAGCGTGGGCAATGCGATGAATAGGCGAGCATGAGTCTCTGCTGTTCGCACTCTGCGATCCGTTGCTACTCATTTGCCATCATCTCGGATTGAGCTTGACAGCCATGCCGATACATGTTCCTTTGGGGAAAGTGCTTACGTGGTACATGACACGGGAGAGACTATATCCGTCGAAGGGTTTTCAACTGATCTTGGAACCATACACGAAGTACCAATTGTAACTGTGGCTGTGGCTTATGACGACCCACTCACATCTCAAATTTATATTTTATTCTTCCATCAATCTTTGCTTATCAAGTCATTACAGAACAATCTCATTTGTCCAGCTCAGCTGCGACATCACCAGTTAGTTGTCAACGATGTGCCACTGTTGCACCTACCGTTTGAAGACAGAACCAATGAATCCCACTCCATCATTTGTGGTGACCTACGAATCCCACTCCAACTGGACGGTGTTATCTCATACTTCCAGGTTCGGAAGCCCACCGCCCATGAAGTCAATTCTCCAGATCACTTCGTTCACGTTCACATGACATCCGAATCTCCTTGGAACCCTCAAGATCCCCAGTCGGCTGACCTCGAGTCCTCTCTCAGAGCCGCTTTGGATTCGGACATGCCAAGTGAAAGGGGACGGAATAGGAGAATTCAGTCGATCAGGTCAATTCTGGAATCAAGATCATCCGTTGCAATTGACGTCAACAGTCTTGGGCCAGCCCTTCAAGCCCAGATCTCTGCTACCAAGACGAAACCCCCTACCAGGAAGGGAGCCGTGTCAGCGGAAGCACTTGCCAAGCGGTGGAATATTGGGTTGGAAGCAGCCAAGAAAACCATCGCGAACACAACTCAGCGAGCGGTTCGTGATTTCACCCACACGAGTGGAGGGCGGAGGATGAAGCCATTGGCGTATCAACTCAGATATCCTCGGCTCAACGTTGAAATGTATACCGACACTGTTTACGGCAAGGTCACTTCCCTCCTGGGAAACAAGTGTGCCCAGGTCTACTGCACACCGTTTCATTGGTGCCATGTTGACCCGATGAAGACCAAGTCGGAGGCTCACTTGACTTTAGACTCACTTTTCCAGAAGATTGGAGTACCAAGAGTCCTGATCCCAGACAACGCGAAGGAGCTTACTATGGGAGAGTTTCGACGAAAGGCACAACGAGTTCAGTGCCCTATCCATCCAGTTGAGGCTTACACACCCAACCAGAACTTTGCGGAAGACCTAATCCGAGAGCTGAAGAGAACTTACAGAAGAACAATGACGACTACTGACAGCTTGGAATGCCTCTGGGACATGTGTTTCGTCTTCTGCGGGCTGACTCGCAGCCACACTGCATTACCGATCCGAGAGTTGGATGGCCAAGTTCCCGCTACTCTTTTGACAGGGACACTTGCGGACCACTCACATTATTATGATTGTATGATGGGTTTGGTACTTGCCTGTGGGAGACAGGGCGAGTCAATGAAAGGAAGCGCCTTGGTCGCTACTGTGCCCCAGCACTGACATTGGGACGCTATGTTGTGCCGTATCCTCAACCGAGAAGGGCAGTTGGTCTCAGGACATCTGTATCCCTTATCGAGCAGGAGAAGCTGAGCCGTGATTGAATCCAAGAAGAGCATTCACAGAATCCTTTAAGAAGTCCCTTGGCAAGCGTTATGTTTTGGCCAGCAGAATGATGCTGAATCTCGTCATATGAAGAGATACCAGAGATTATGAGCCAATTGATGATCGTGACCCAGCTCCTCTGCCAGAGTTGTCAGAAGCAGATGATATGCAACATGAGGCCTTCGATAAGTACATTGCAACTCGTGTTTGTGTCCACAGGGAGACCAAATGTTTATGGCACAGTCACCAAGCGCAAGAGGAACTCAGATGGAAAAACTGATTGGTCTTTCGAATTCTAACACATTGCTTGATACTTCCCTTTATGAGGTGGAGTTTGACAGTGGCGAGACCGAGTCCTACTCGGCCAACATCATTCAGAGTCTATCTATGCTCAGGTGATGATGACGGCACACTTTTTTGAATTGGGGATATCTTGCACCATGCGAAGGATGGACAGCTGTTTCAGGGGACGACGCTACACTATCGGAATGGCAGGAAGCCTTTGCGACGACCACCAAAGGTGGAAACTTTTGTGTCAGTGGAAGATGGGACCACCTCATGGCAGTCCCTTAAGGACATGAAAGATGGTTACCTGATTCAGATGGCAGAGTATGCACAGAACAATGGCTTGGAGTCAGAGCCAGCTTTCTCTTGGTGGGTCCCTTACACCCCAAGAAGCGGAATCGGATTATCTCTGCTGTCGCGAAGCGGTACTTTCGCAAGGAACAGAAATATGGGTTGAGCTTCCCAAAACAGTGGAGCATGCCATTGAGATTGACAAGGAGACTGGTACAACATTTTGGCATGATGCCATTAAGATAGAGATGGCAGCCGTCGGAAAAGCTTTTGAGATCTTGGAAGAGGATGCACCTGATCCAGTTGGCCATACTCACATCCGTTGCCATATGGTTTTTGACGTGAAAAGTGATTTCACCAGAAAGGCACGCTTGGTCGCTGGAGGACACATGACTAACCCCCCTTCTTCCATCACTTATGCCAGTGTTTTCAGTCGTGAGAGTGTACGACTGGCCTTTCCTGATTGCAGCATTGAACGATTTGGTATATCTTGGCAGCTGATATTGGCAATGCATATTTGAATGCCCCAGTCGAGAGAAGATCTTTATCACATGCGTAAGGAATTTGTGCCCATTTGAGGACGCAAGGCAAGGTCGTCAAGGCCCTGTATGGCCTCAAATCAAGTGGAGCAGCATGGAGGGCCCACTAGCTGATGTTCTGCGAACAACTTGGGGTTCACCTCTTGTAAGGCAGACAATGATGTCTGGTTTCGTGCAGCCACCAGGCCTGACGGAAGGGAATACTATGAGTATATTTTGGTATACACGACGATCTCCTTTGCCTCAACTAACCCAAATACACCTTACTCTGCTACCTGGATCACATTTCCTGTTGAAGCCAGGATCCCTGGGAAAGCCAACTCAGTATCTTGGAGTCTTCAGTCAAGGAGTACAATCTCCCTGGCGTTGACAAACCCTGTTGGTCAATGGGATCTGAACAGTATGTCAAGGAGGCTGTCAGAAATGTGGAGACATGGCTCGAGCGACGTGGGAAGACGCTCAAGTCGAAAGAAACTTCAGTGTTACCGAGCAATTACACCCCGGAGTTGGATGTTTCAAACCTTTGTGATGACGAGTGGACAAATTACTTTCAACAGCAGATTGGAGTGCTACGATGGGCCGTGGAAACTCGGGAGAATTGACATCTGCACCGAGGTTTCAATCATGGCTTCGTACTGTGCAGCCCCACGAGTTGGGCACCTGGACGCTGTGTTTCATATCTTGGCATATCTCAAGCAGCAACAGTCGTTCTCACCTTGTTTTTGATCCTTCCATATGTGAATCATGTGGAACCAGAGCGACCTGACTGGAGCGATTTCTATGCCATGCGAAAGAGCTTTTGCCCCCAGACATGCCGAATCCCTCTCGGCAAACCAATCCAAATCACCATGTTTTGGATTCTGACCATGCTGGGGACAAGGTGACACGTCGTTCGCGTACTGGTGTACTCGTCTTTGCTAACATGTCCCAATTATCTGGTATAGCAAGAAGCAGGGCTCCATTGAACTTCCTCTTTGGATCTGATTCGCAGCAATGAAGGTTGGAATCGAGATGTGGAGGGCTTGCGTACAAGCTCAGGATGATGGAGTCCCTCTCGATGGTCCAGCTCCATGTCAAGGCGGACAAACATGTCCGTGATCAAGAATTCAAGATCCCAGAATCTACCTTGAAGAAAAGAGCAATTCGGTCGCATACCATTATGTCCGTGAAAGAGTCGCTGCAGGAATGGCAAACATCACATACAGAATACTGAGAGCAATTGGCGGATATGCTGACGAAGATCCAGAACGGGCCTGTGAGACAGCGACTGGTTTCGAAAGTCCTCTATTAACAATCTGCAAAAGGCAACATGACCATAGGTGGGCCGTTTGGTTAACGGAGGTCTGAGCCTCCAAGGGCCTTGCCCCAAGGGTACATCCTGTTTCAGACTCCTGAAGTCTGTTTTCCCATTCCAAGTGCAATCTAGCGTGAGATAGATCCCCCTCTAGCTTGAGGGGACCGAAAATGACCTGTGGTAGCGATTTATGACTATCCAGTTACCAGATTACTAGAAATCAACCACAACAACCAAGTAGTAACACACACAACTATAGCAACCTCTCTATCAACTCCTCCTTCCTCTATCATCAGCCTTTTTCGCTTCAGGAAACCAGTCGACCATGAGCATGCCGAACGGCATTTTGGAGGGAATAAGCCAGCGGCGCTGTGTAACCTCGGCAGAAAGGTTTCAGTGTAGAAGCAGATACCCCTATGGAAGACGGTAGTTTGCACCACAGAAGCTAAAAGGATTGGTACAGAAAGTACAGCGGGACCGTCGTGCCGACATCGGCCTACCGCTGTAGAGGCCGCTGTAATGCCATATTAGCCAATCAGAATCGTTCCACCTTTTTGATGACGTCAGTCGTGCATCGCATCTCTGTGTCAGCTCGATCAGTCTCTCGTGGTGTTGTTCGTGTTGTTTTCATGTTGTTTTCGAAAGACCGACGGAGCACGCATCCAGAGGATTTCGAATTGAGCGAGATAGTGAAGCAAGACAGTATAACCGAGGTCATTCCATCCGTAATAGTAGCCATAGAGGTACTTCGCAGAGGTGTACTTACCGCATTCAGTAGCCGCAGAGGTACTTCGCAGAGGTACTTCGCAGAGGTACTCACTGCAGCCGAGGAGGATATAGCCGCTTTCATCGCCATCCTCCGAAGACGATGAGTGCGAGTACGAAAGAGGCTCCGGCTTGTATCGACCACTATATCCGGAGCATGTACTCGTCTGGAGGACGCTTCCCCAAGGTGGATGACAATGGCATGGTGTTCTTGGCGGCTGCTGGCAAGACAGGGCGTGCCTCTGCGGAAACCAGGACTCCTCTTGTTGCCGGAAAATTGGATCGGCATCTGCAGCAATATTTCCCACAGGGAGCAGTCCACGGAGTCTCATCTCCTGTTATGAGAGCCCTTGCAAGGAAGGAAGCTCCTGCTGCAGACCAGGCACAAATTACAAATTTCTAACACGGACAACGTTGCCGAGCTCGCTGCCGAATCATTCGATCGAATGACTTCAACATGATGGGGCAGGGCAACGCTGGTCTCAGGGGTAGGCTGAGGCCCCAGCATGCCAAAGCTTTGCTCAGACAGAGCGGTATGCTGGTTCAGATGGCCGCCATCAATCAACATGCCACTGGAAAGAGAAAGGCTGCTCCGAAGCAAGGCGGTCTGACCAAAGCCAAGCTGTTGGACTCCTCCACAAGCTTCGCAGACATGAAGAATTGGGCCAGGGTCTTGGGAAAGTCCATCAAAAAGACAAAGCCAGAGATGAAAGAGGTTCTGCTGCAGTGCTTTGAGGGCCAGCCAGAAGGCCATGTGTTCACTCCCATTAGCTAGCTTGGTGGTTGGGCCCCAAGGGCCCAATCTTTAAACTTCTAAGCCCCCTGCGGGGGCCCATCCTTTTAACTTCTAGCTTTAAAAAAATTCGGAAGAAGCTAGCTAGCTAGCTAGAAGCAGATACCTGTAGTGCTTAGCTAGTGCTTAACTTGCGCTTAGCTAGCTAGAAGCAGATCCCCCCTAGCTAGAAGCAGATTCCCATAGCAAGCTAGAAGCAGATACCTCTAGCTAGCTAGAATACTAGTTATATAGCTTTCGCTAGCTTTAGAGTTTTTCCTGGTAGGAGCAGACCCCCCTACCGACCGGTTGGTATCAAGTGAGAGTAAAGAGGTCAGGAGCCATAGAAATTGCAACCAGAAAGAGCTTGACCATCGGAGCTTCAGCATTAGTTGCGCCATAGCGCGCCATGTCTAAAGCTGCCGCTCGGATGGTCAAAGGTCTTCTTGTTGTTGATTGCATGGCTCCTCACCTTCGACAACGTGTGTGTCATCGGAGGGAGCCTCTCTTTTCACCGGATTCGGTGTCACGAATGTTCCATTTTTCCTAAGTGGAGAGAGCGAGCCGGTGCGCCGGGCAGGTCAAATCCGGTCACAGATCAAATTTCACCTCACAAATTGAGCAAAACGGATCCTTCGCTCACCTCAAATCAATTTTTCGAGCATGTTTATCAGTCTCGTGACGATGTTTGTTGATAGATAGCAATATTTCGATTGATGTGCATCCCTTTCAGCGACTATGGGTATTGGTAGAGACTACTGTAACTCTATAGTATCGGTTCTGGATAGGATTCAACTCAACGCCTAAAGATCGCGATCGAACGGAGGCTTCTTCACTTTCAGTTCAGTTCAGTCAGTCGATCGCTCCTCATAAATTCGCAACACAAACCTTTACAGTGGAAGCTATGGGATTTTGGGCTTTCGCTCTTGGGGATCTTCTTTATTCATCGACCATGGCCATCTGCCGTTCGATTTGAGTTTCCGTCGGTTTTCCACTGCTCCGTCGTTCTTTCACTGCCCCGTTGTTCTTTGCCCCTCGATTCTCGCTGAGTCACCATGCCACCCAAGAAGAGAAGATCCTACACTCAGTTGTTCAAGAAGGGAGCCAAGCCCCGAAGCAGGTCCAACTCTCCCGTTCCACCACTAGTGTCTCCACCGCCGACTGCAGCATCACTTCCATCCACCAGGAGGCAGTCAAGCCAGCCGAACTCCTCCACCATCGCCTGGCCATGGCACCAACCGCCGCAGTCCACCCAAAACCAACACGAAGAATCGCCACAAGCCTCGCAATGAACCTGCCGCAAGAACTCCCACTCCTTGCAAGGGTGCTGAAAAGCGCAAAGGGATCTCGCCACTTGACAACCTTGTGGCCCGCTCGGCTGACCTCATGGATTCATCTGACTCCACCGCTGATGTTGACAGGAGGACTGCTGCTCGAGCTGATCCACAAGCTACCTGGGACTTGATTGGTGCCGACGATGAACCATCCAAGCCTGACGATGAGGACGAGGAGTTTGTCTACGAGGATGATCTTGACCTCCTGAGCGATGATGACCTGCTTGAAAAAGCCTTGGAAGAACTCGTTGAAGAGAGCATCTTGGATGAAGAAGTTTACCGCCGCATTGCCATTGCATATGTCTACTACAACGTTTTGGGTGCTCCACCAAGAGAAGAGTGGGGAGGTAAAGGAGGCACATATGGGAAGATCAAACGAATCCTCAAGGTTCCTTCTGGAACCAAGATTGGTTACGTCTTGGAGGATCTTCTTGATTGCGAAGACAAGAAATGCCGCTACACTGGCAAGCGCCAAGCTTTGGGTGAAACCCGTCCACCCAAGATTCCGAATGATTCTCAGGAGGCTCAGATCGTCGCGGATCATCTGGAGGTAGGCTTCAGCATCAGACAAGCCACCTTGCAAGTCAACCAACACCGGCGTGATAATGAGAAAGAGGAGCTTTCGATTTCTGCTGTCTGGCATCTCTCCAAGCGTCTCAAGCCAAAGGTCACTCCCATCAGACGTTTGAAGCAAGGCAACATGGACAAGACGTCGACTTGGGCCACCGCTCGTTATGGATGGGTCATCCAACTCATGCTTCGAATTGGAATGGAGGATCAGTTGACGGATGAAGCCAAGGCGTTCATGGAGTCGCAAGGCAAGGATGGCAATCGTCCTGAATGGTTCTTGACAGATAAATTGACCAGAATTGACCTTACCAAGATCGGTTTCTGGGATGAGACTCATCACAAGTGTGTCATCGGGGGAGGGGCTGTGCAAGCTGGTCGCAAGTTCCATTTGAAGTTCCCACGTGATGCAAATGGAAAGCTGGATCCTAACGGTGAATACTCTGGCGAAGACCAAACCATTCTCAATGTCAAGTACGATGATGAGACTCGGGTCAGTCTGGGTTGTTCCGCAAATGCGACCGAGGGCCACAACATTCCTTTGATTGATTACAGTGGCAAAACCTTGCTGACGTCCAAAGATTATGCAAACCGGAAAAAGATGGAGATTGCCGGAGTCAGGTCTTTGACTGGTGAAAGGTCTGGTTGGATCAAGCGTGGTCGAGTGGCAGGCAAGCCTTACAAGATTGACCGGTTGGCTCCCAAGCGGATCCCATTCCTTGGAAAGGGAGCAGTCAAGAAGTTCAACGAATGCTCTCCTCCTATCACGACCTTTCGGAAATTGGTGGAGCTGACTGACAAGCGCATTACCGCTTTGGCCAAGAAGAAGGTCGCTACGAAGGCAAACCTTTTGGCTTGGAGGAAGGCGGCACAAGATGCTGAGGACGAACCAACAGCTTCGACTAATCACCGCAAGGCAGCTAACCCATACCAATCCCGTTGGGGTGACGATTGGGAGGAGCGGCTAGAAGGTTCCTCTGGAATGTCGAGGTATGTCTGTGTCACTACGATGGTGGAGCACATCTTTGAAGAGACCAAGGCACACATGCAGGAGATCCACGGAGAAGACTGCGATGATTGGTGGGTCTATCACGATGCTTTGTTGCTCATGACTACCACGACGACAAGGGCATGTATGGAGGAGAAGGGCTATCTCAAGCATTGGATCTTGCCAGAGTGTGGTCTCAACACCCACACTCCCAAGCACAAGCAGTACTATTCCAAAGCTCCAGTGGGAAACTCCCCAGAGCTCATGCCTTGGGACTGCAGTTTGAATAAGGATTTCGACGATGCCATCAGCCACCACATCACGCAGACTCGCCACTTGGCGGAGGATCATGAGTGCAAGTTCTCCTACACGACTCCAGTACGAGGATCTTATTGCTTGAGACGTGTCTACGAGTACAATCCAAGGAGTGAACGAATCGTCCAGGATGTCAACCAATTCCCAAAACACCTTGTTCGTATCATGGAGTCAGAAGGATGTGTCGTTCGGGATATTGGGAATAGCAAGAAGGAAGAAGAGAGCTTGAGAGGCTTGCGGTCTGGAAAGAGGGGCTTGGCTGCTGCGGCTGCTGAGGAAAAGGACGGTGTCAAGGTTGACAGGCGTGGTGGTGCAAGGCAGAGGGATCCAAAGTCGAAGTCTTACTCTGAGATGGTTGTCCTCCATCCTGATGCGGTCAAGGGCAAGAAAGGGAGCATTGCGGCCTCTTTGGCTATTCACGCCACTAGTATTGAGGAGCCAAAGGAGAAGGATGTTGATGATCCATCCTCATCTGAAGATGTGAGCTTTTGTGTTGCTGTTTGAACTGCTTTTCTATGGTCTTATTTCTAACTCCTCTGGAACTGTTGCCATTTTAGGATTCCAGTGAAGAGGATGGGGTGGATGAGTGAGTGTTGCAAGGCATGCAACAAAGGGGATTGTTGTTTTTGTGTTTGTGGGGTGTGGTTGGTTGTCTTTATAGTGAGTCTGTGGCTCTGTGGGGACCAAGGACTCGACGCGATGACGGGAAAGTCTTGATCTTGACACAATCGCGAGGACGGACTGATGGGATCTTCGAGGAATTTGTGAGGTTTCTTTCGCGACTGCATCGTGCTTCCGCGAGGGACTCACTCACCAGTTGGTTGGTGTCTTACTGGTTCGATGGTGGACTGCTTGTGAGAGATAGCATCTGTTTACACCGGTTAACACGGTGTTTCAGTGGTCAAATAGTGCTTCGAACTGTTGTCTTTGCGAAGTGTGACTTAGTGTGATTCGAAAAAATGACTGACATTTCCGAATTCAGAAGCACGACACGCCAGCCGAGCCACATTCGGAAAGAGGACGATCTCAATTTTTCGCAAAATTTGAATAATCGCTTGAATAACATCGCAAAATTCATCCTTTTACCCCATTACTTCATGCTGCCATAGTGATTGATCCAGAGGGCGTATGAACATGTTGTCATAGGAGTATTAGGCCCTCTCAACACCCTCTACAAGGATCCGGTGACAGAAGGTGGCTGTTGATGATTCGAAATTTCAACTCTCACTTGATACCAACCGGTCGGTACTAGTAGGATGCATGTAAATAGCTTTAGCTGGTTTAAAAGCACCATCCTAGGATACTTATTTGGTTTTTGCTGACTTATTTGTATTCTAACCCTACCCTTAACCTACAGGGACCACCGTAGCAGGAAAAACAATTAAAGGGGTTGAGGGCTCTGGCAGCAAGGCTGCCGAGGTAATTTAATAGTAACAACAAGATCGCAAGTTAGAGATAGGTAGTCATAATACTATAGATGACTGCACAACAGAAACACATTTGTTCGTACCTTTAGATAGTGTCGAAATCTGTCATTCTGTTATCTCGTGGGAATTCTCGAATTCAACTGTCAACAACGACAACAGCTGTAAAGCTGTCGGAAACTCAATTTTTTGTTGTGTTGACTTGGCTCAAGACCAGCGCATTGGCTTCAATACCATGACAGAGACCAATAAGGATATGACAGCCCTGGTTGAACAGGCATCTGGAATGGTCGCTATAGCACAAGGCAAGCTGAAGATCACACATGCAATGAAAATCGTGGGCTTCAACACACCTGAAAGAAAGAACATGAGATGGTATCAACAAGTGAGGAGGAAATCAATGAGGCTTGGATCTGTACCTATTCAGGTTGTTGCCTCCATGAAGGGATCTTCAAATTGGCAGCCAAATGCACAAACTACCCTCACTGGGAGCACTCCAGCATCTCGCGACTCCACTCTTCCACCTTCACCTGACTCTGTTGACAGCCCCATCATTGCTGTGGGAGATGATATGGATGAGGCGCTGGCCTGCAAAGGAAGACAACACAAAGCCAAAGAGAAAGGATAGACGCACAAGCAAACAAGTGCATATCTGAAGTCGCTTGCACAGAACGCTCAGCTCACCAAAAGAGATAAAGAAGCAATGGAGATCATCACAACAACCATTGCCAGGCAGAAAAAGAAACCAGTTGACAACAGGAAAAGTATTAGAAAGATAGTTGAGGAGAACAATGAGAGGTTCAACTCGAATGTTGATCCAAAGACAGCGGCAAGATACGTACGCAATGGATTGATAGGAACTTCCCCAATGAAGCGAGGACCAGTCAGTCAGTTTCCCAAAAGAATATGGAAGGCTTTGTGTGGAGCTGTTGTGACATTCCCGAAGCTTGAACAAGCAGGTGGTGCCAAGCAATCTTCAATCGCTTCTCTTCTGTGTGAATAAAGGAGGATGGCATAAGACCAGAACCGACTTGACAATGAAAATCAAGAAGGAACATGCCGATCAGTTCCCAACAGCGGGTAAGGCCAATGTTCAAGAACAAAGAAGGACACTGTGGACAACTCACTATTTCCTCAACACTTGGTTCGACACTTGGGAAGCAAGTGTTATTGAGCTTGGTTTTGGCCGCGAGCGAACACCACAAGATGCTCAGTTCGACACAAGTACCGGTGGTGGGTTTCTTGGGGAAGTATTCTTCTATGAAGGTCAATTGGACCGAATCATCAACTTCGACGAAACAGATGGCTCTCTTGATGACACAACTGGCTATCGAGGTGGACGTCCTCCCATGACCTTCTATGCGCCAGACATTTTAGGAGGAGGAACAAGAGTCAACAAGAGTGGGTATTCCTGCACAATCATTTGTGGGAATAATGCAGCTGGCGATCCCTTACCTCCACACTTTCAGTTGAAGACATTGGCGACATCAGCCGAAAGAGAAAGGATCAATGTGGATTGATTCCAACACACCAAAGATACCATCGGCACCTGGGGCTTAAATAAAAAAAAGAAACGTCCATGCACTTTTGGGATGAATGAGAGAGCACGAGCGCAGACAAGCTGCGCTCGCCCAGAGCAGCCAGACATGACTAGTAGAGGATTAGGTGAGTGGAGAGACTCGGCCATTTACTGAGCCGACCGTCTCCAATCCCCGGGGTACCATTCGGGACTGGGGAGTCCCGGATGGATCCCACACGGCAAAAGGGGGTCCCGGGAATGTGATGTTCCACGGGACAGCCGGCCTTGAGTCGTGCAACCGGGAGGGAGAGGTGGGTTATCTAATCTAGGTTCTTGCCTTCAGCGTCGGCTGAATGAAAATATTGTGAGCTGAGAGAGAGACACCTTCTTGCGATCGGCAGTTCAATGGCTGGTCTTGGCTAGGTCGCTGGTTTTAGTGATTCATGGTTGCCGCTTTGATCTTGCCAAATGTGGTCTTGGACGGGCGTCGTTGCTTAAGGGTATCTTGTTCGAGAGGCATTGAGGAGTGGAGCTGATGCGGTGCATTATCATGTGGGGTATCCATTTCCGGAACGCAGGTGATGACCTGCGAGTGTAGAGATGTACTTGAGTTGTAGGGAGGAGCGTGGAAATTAATTTTGCAAATTGTGGATTGGTCCTCTCGGCAACCATGATTAGGGTCATAGTTGCGAGAAACATCAGGGTTAAGTTTCATACGCGCGGGGCGTGGAAACTCGAACGGGGGGTTCCCCAGGCGTTGTGCTGCTCAACACCGGAGCGCAGACAAGCTGCGCTCGCCAGAGCAGCTAGCACGATTAGTAGAGGATTAGGTGAGTGGAGAGACTCGGCCATTTACTGAGCCGACCGTCTCCAGTCCCCGGGGTACATTCGGGACTGGGGAGTCCCGGATGGATCCCACACGGCAAAAGGAGTCCCGGGAATGTGATGTTCCAGGGACAGCCTTGAGTCGTGCAACCAGGGAGGGAGAGGGGGTTAATCTAATCTAGGTTCTTGCTTCAGCGTCGGCTGAATGAAGAATGTGAGCTGAGAGAGAGAACAACCTTCTTGCGATCGGCAGTTCAATGGCTGTCTTGGCTAGGTCGCTGGCTTTAGTGATTCATGGTTGCCGCTGTCGATCTTGCCAAATGTGGTCTTGGACGGGCGTCGTTGCCTTAAGGGTAATCTTGTTCGAGAGGCATTGAGGAGCTGATGCGGTGCATCATCATGTGGGGTATCCATTTCCGGAACGCAGGTGATGACCTGCGAGATGTAGAGATGTATTGTTGTAGGTGAGGAGCGTGGAATTAATTTGCAAATTGTGAGATGGTCCTCTCGGCAACCATGATTAGGTCATAGTTGCGAGAACCCATCAGGGTTCAAGTTTCCACGCTGCGGGGCATGGAAACTCGGACAGGGGGTTCCCCAGGCGTGCTGCTGCTAAACACCGAGCGCAGACAAAGCTGCGCTCTGCCCAGAGCACTAGACACGACTAGTAGAAGATTAGTGAGTGGAGAGACTCGGCCATTATACTGAGCGACCGTCTCCAGCCCCGGGGTCCATTCGGGACTGGGGAGTCCCGGATGGATCCCACACGGCAAAAGGGGGTCCCGGGAATGTGATGTTCCACGGGACAACCTTGAGTCGTGCAACCAGGGAGGGAGAGGGGGTTAATCTAATCTAGGTTCTGCCTCAGCGTCGGCTGAATGAAGAATGTTGAGCTGAGAGAGAGACAACCTTCTTGCGATCGGCATTCAATGGCTGGTCTTGGCTAGGTTGCTGGCTTAGTGATTCATGGTTGCCGCTGTCGATCTTGCCAAATGTGGTCTTGGACGGGCGTCGTTGCCTTAAGGGTAATCTTGTTCGAGAGGCATTGAGGAGAGCTGATGCGGTGCATCATAATGTGGGGTATCCATTTCCGGAAGGCAGGGATGACCTGCGAGATGTAGAGATGTACTTAGTTGTAGGTGAGGACGTGGGAATTAATTTTGCAATTGTGAGATGGTCCTCTCGGCAACATAATTAGGGTCATAGTTGCGAGAACCCATAGGGTTCAGGTTTCCACGCTGCGGGGCGTGGAAACTCGGACGGGGGGTTCCCCAGGCGTGCTGCTGCTCGACAACGAGCGAGACAAGCGCGCTCGCCAAGAGCAGCAGGCACGACTAGTAGAGGATTAGGGTGGTGGAGAGACTCGATGGGGT